GATGGCCGATGGCTTGGAAAAGTCGAGATGCCAGATTTTGGAGAGAAGTAAGAGCTTCGTTCCACGTTATCGTAATACTAAACTTTCAGAAACTTTGTTTTAGGCTGGAAATGCAAAATATCAACTAGAAAACAATTTATTATCTCTCTGCGTGCTACTTCGCAACTATGGACACTGGCTGAAGTCAACAAGACTGATGGTTTGAATGTTGCGATGAGATCACGAGGTTCATTATCGCCAGTGTAGAGTAAGTTCTGAGACATTGTTGCGCAAGTAGACAAATGTTATTTTCAAGACAATAGACGAAAAGACCTCCAAGCAGAGTAGGGAGAGTCCGAAATGCCCGGCCCTAAGTTGAGCCTCCTTTACAGCACACTCTTTCCTATGAAAAAAAACCTACATAAATCTCGAAGCCAGTCGCTTCATCAAGGATAGTGGTTTTAGTCACGAAGACTTGAAAAGAAATGAACTCGGGGAAGAGTTTGAACTATATAAAACATTGATTATCAAAAGAAAGTCCAAAAACCATGCCTTATAGTAATGGGGTGTGATGTAAGGGCAGTCTAGCCTGGATTCCTTGAGGTCAAATTCCTTATTTGAGAGATTTCTCTGGCGACGAGATGATGCAAGTCGAACACTTTGAAGGAACTGCCTCACAAAGTGACGATGGTGTTATCTAGGCTATTCAGAATTAGTACATCGGTTCTACTTAAATTGGGCGAAATGCTCTATTGGGGCTCCCCATTTTGTACTACAAGGGAGGTAATAGGTCTTCGCGTGACAGCGTCAAATAAATCCTATCTGAAGAGACAAAATGAAGAACCAGGCTGATTATCCGCAAAATCAATTTTTTCTCTACTACGACTCTTATGACGTTAAAAGGATGAGAAATTCCTGCTGTACTTCAGGTATGCGGAACTCTAATCAGTAAAAATGACGGAATTACGGCAAGAAGCAGATTACGCGCGGTTCAGCGTCCAAGTAATCAAAAAATACGGCCAAAACCTTATTTCAAACTGATTCTCTGTGAGCACACCCCACTCCAAATTAACATCTGTACTCTAAAGGAATCTCAACCCCTCAATTACTCACTTTCCCCCTCCTACCGTTCAGTGTAAAACATACTTTTGAAGTTTTCATATCTCTTTTCAAAAACTATAAATATAGTTGTGCTGCTGAAGCAAATATGTCAATGTGCCACATTAATGCACGAAACTTCTGATACACTTGATTTTCATCACGGATACGGTAGTAGGAGACATCACAGATTTCGTAACATACCGTAAGCGGCTGCGAAAATCAAAGCGATGACGAGTGGGCGCATTGGTGATGTGGGTGAACGTGAGTGTCCAGTGTGCCAGCCGCGGGGCCGTATCAGTACTGAAGTTTTCCCGTGCTCCGCCCACATTCGCGGCAAGCCCACTTTGATCACACCCGCCCCCTTCGATTCTGCTGCTCTTATCGAGAATGTGCCCGCATCGTCAAGAACTATCGCCGACGGTACAAGGAATATGAGGAATGCTTGGCATGCCGCTAATACTGAAATGTGATAGGGCGATGAGGTGACAAGGGTCTCAAGGTTACTACAATGAGAGACCCTCTCATGTAAAGACTTGGAGCTGATCAGTAGCAATGCTGAGCGACAAATACTCGACCGCTTTACCGACGCACTGTACCTGCTGACCTGCCATGAGGAATAACAAAGTCACCCGGTGAATGCGAGTGGGCATGATTGTCGAATGAGCTACCTTGAACACGGCTTTTCTGGCTCTATAAGATGGTAACCGACTAGTCTAATGCTTGATTTGACAGTAGGAAGGGTTGGAGCGTGCTCTCTGGTTTGAAGGAAAATTTCGTTCAGGTCTGAGAAGCCAGCGGGGCAAAAGGTATGAATAGTCCTGGACCACAGTCAAAGCGAAGCTGTGCTGAAATTTTGGGATCGCAAGTGTTACTTATGACATGTGGCCATAAATATCTATACGGGCCCGGCTCAAATTGCTCATAGAAATAAAAGATGATCTCAACAAGGTATGCCATAAACTGATATTAGGGCTTCAGAACAGAAAGGTACTATCCCATAACCATGACCGAAAATTCTTGCAGGGTATTGGCTGCAATACGAGATCGCCTATTGATTCCACCGCTGTCTTCTCAGGCTTAGACGGTATCCCCTTAAACTAGAGAATATGCTTTTGAGGCAGGGTAATTCGTGATGAAAAATGCTTATGCTTTTCCAGATTGCTCAGATTCTGTCCGTAGAGCTCGATGAACTGAGCTCAATGCTATTTCGAGGCAAAAACTATTCGTCTATTAGCTAAAACAAAAAACCGATGACATGTCTACATTCTCGCGTTTATCCTCACGACATGTGCCTCAGGACAAGAGGAATGAACTTTTCTTTCCGTTATATAGCGTGTGTCTCCTCTTTCATTATATGCATAGGTGTTGTGCGGTTGTAGGTGCGCGGTTGGTATGGAACATCCTGGTTGAGCCCAAAGCTTGCATTGGAAGGACAACCAAGTGAACGAGGGACGGTCCAGAATTGCCTTTCCCCTCGGGGTCTTTCCCGCTTCTGGATAGCCTTCCAACCAACCGACGAGTTCTGCTAAGTACGTTCAACAAATGTCAAGTGTTGCTGCTGACAAAATTTTGAGTCGGGCCTCAATCGCTGTAGGAATGCTTTGTGGTGGACCTTCTTGAATGCTGGAAGATGTAGACGATGTATGTAAGTGTTGCCGATCTGGCTGCTACTTGTCATTCAGATACAATTCTTGTATGTGAGTTTGACATATCACAGTATAAATGTCACGCCCCTCGATGTGAAAAAAGTCTGTGAAGCAGTTGAAAGAGAAGCGCTTGATCACATCTTTCAGATCCGCTATCGAACCAATTAACCTAAGCGTCATTTGTATTTTGAGACGAAGAAGTTGCCTACAAGTTATCTCCTGCAAGTACAGTATGCTTCGCGGATGATTTTTTGATACTCTTGTGACTGCAATCATCGAGAAAGTGCAGTGAATGTTGGCCAGTTCAGCTACAGTAGCGCTCAAAAGTCTTCGGTGAAATG